GAGATAGAAACATCAATGATGAGATTTCCCTTTTGTTCACAGTAGCTTAGTGTCATGCATATTATTTTAATTAGATGGATAGAAAAAGTTCCTGTAGCTTTTTTTCCTCATGAACATCCATGTGATTCCTGACGGTCTTTATTACCAATCAATAATGACAGTCTCTGATTTCACATGCACTTAGATTTTGATACAGTTTTTAAGAAGGAAAGTCAAGCAGTTGCTTCAGGAAGTGGGCTTTGAGACCACAGTCATTTACATTTGTAACCAAAGCTTATTCAGTCACCCTTTGCAGGTTTTTACTGTTTTATTTATTTTGAATATTTGGTTTTTGCAAGGGTCCGAACATTATTCTATATCTAGATCTTAGAGATTGTCATTCACTTATTCAACGGGGATTTAATATCTAGCATGTGCGAACCATTGTGCTGGGTTTTTCTCGTTTCACTGCTTCTGACAACGACACTTTCACAACACTGAATGCATCGTTTCCCACAAGGCCTCTTGTTCTATGACATAGTGATAATTTTCCTGTGAGAGGGTCACAAGGTGAAAACATTTGGGAAATACAGAATGATAAACATATTCTTAGGGGCTTAAAACAGAATCTAGCTTATCTAGCATTACATGTAGCAAAAGAAAACCATTTGGCCATATTTAGTAAGTAAAGGCTATATTTATTGGGGTTTAGGACAGTTTTTCTTTTGGATAGGTTACCCATTAAAATTAAAATTTCCTATTAAAATTCCTATTTTGCAAAGCCCAGGTTAAGAAATATTGTCTTCCTAGAGGCCCAATGCATGAAATTCATGCAAAAGTAGGTCTTCCTTCCCCCGGCTGCTGGACCTGGGTTTCCCTCTGGCCTGGCTTCATCTGGAAGGATGTCTGGAATGACGTCCGGAAGGATGTCTGGTCTAATTAGCATATCACGCTTTTATTATTATAGATTGCAACATTTGGAACAGTGCTGAAAAAGTATTGGCCAGATTGTCTCTAGGATACTGTTTGTCCTATCTCCCTTCCTGGAACTCTCAGCCATCCTCTATTATGTTTATGCCTCACTTTATGCTTAAGGAATTACTTTTTTCTCTTATGGGTAAAATGGCTCAGACCCTGAGATCAGAATATAAGAGGGTCCATGGTAACAGTTTACATAGTTCATCTGCTCCTTACCCTTTTGTGATTGTGTTCAGCTCCTGGATGGACTCTTACTGCCTAGGATGGCTTTGCTCGAAAGACCCTTATGATTGCTTTTGTTGGACACAGCAGCTAACGTGGTGCACTGCACAGACTGTTGGTCTAAATCAGTGTTTTTCAACCTTTTTTGGGCAAAGGCACACTTGTTTCATGAAAAAAATCACGAGGCACACCACCATTAGAAAATGTTAAAAAATTTAACTCTGTGCCTATATTGACTATATATAAAGTAATTCTCTTGAATAGGAATCAAATAAACACAAAGAAAGTATTTTATAATTACTTTATTATGAAATATTAAGTAAACAAAATAGTGAAAAATTATAAAATTCTTGTCTTGTCTGCACCTACGGCACACCAGGCAACAACACTAGTGTGCCGCGGAACAGCGGTTGAAAAACGCTGATCTAAATAATCCTACCCGGCAGGATAGACATTAGCACGTATGCCAGACAGATCATCTTCTTGAAGCACATTCTCTCCTTGCATCTGAGATGCTGTTTGCTCTGATTTTCTTCCTGCCTCTGGTTGCTTTGGCTCGGTCTTCCTAACAGTATGAATTTTTCTGCCCATCCCTTCTCTGTTGGTGTTCCTCAGGGCTGTGCTTCAAGCCATCCTCTTTTGTGGTCATTCTTCCTGTGTGTGATCATCCGCATCCATGTTGTCAATTATACTTTCTTCGCTAATAATTTAAATTCCTTTTGAGAGCCAAATTTTTAAAACTTAAACTTCTGATGCCACTTCTTCAAAATAGACTCGCCCAGGCTATGGTATTTTGTGGAAGAGCCACACTCAAGGGGCCAAAGAGCTGCATGTGGCTTAAGAGCCGCCCTTTGCCGACGACGGGCTTAGGAAATCTAGGCATCCTGTTACAATTTACGGTAGCCAGTTTTTCACCCTCCAGCATGCCACTCACTGTCCCTCTAAGCAGCTTGAATGCCTCGCTCTCTGAATCACTCACAAGAAATCCAAGCTAGGGAACAAGTGATAAAGAAAATGGTGGAGGGTGAAAGGATGCTATCAAACATAGTTATATTCTTATACAGAAGTAACATTCATTGACCTTTAAACATTGGATGTTATGTAAACAGCCACATTTTAACCCTTAAATCCCACTGACATTCATCCTATAAAATGTATATTCACATAATCAATACTAAAGGCAAATGATACACCCACGGTTTAAGCTTTAAACTTATTCTACTTGAATAAGTTTGCCTGTACTGATATTTATTCTCCTCTGTAGCCATTGGTATGATCAGAGTTTTTCTCCTAATTTAAAAGGAGGCATACTTATCAATAGCTTAGACATTTTATTAGAAGCGAGAGAGGCGAGGGGGAGTTTTAGAATAAACATTTCTATTAAGGGTAGTTCAGGAAAACAATTTATAGCTCAGTGATAAATAAATAAATAATCATTTCAGAAATGTTTATTGTTCCAGCTCATTAAAATGTATGTCTCGGACAGTATTTCTTAAAGGCCATAAAATTAATAGTGTATTTTTAAAGTTTTATTGGCCTCTATTTCCTAAGTCTCATTTAGCCCCAGTGTTTAATTGTGCCGTCTCCTACCGGCCGGGGACCTGGCGGTCATATGACTTCTCTGTCTTAAAGGACAAACATTTCCTCCACGGCCAGCTTCCGTACTCTCGAATGTGTTTATTTCACAGCACCTCGCCTTTTCAGACTCTGTCAGAGCTAATCTGGAACTGGTATTTCTTTGTGTCTTAAAATAATGCGGAAACTTCAATGAACAGCTAATCATGTCCCTGGCCCGGCAGAACACATGAAACTAAAACCTTGCTTACCAGCTCCTGGAGTTAACTTTTTAAGTCTTTCCCTACAGAAAGCCAGGGCAGGGCCATAGCATTTGCTGAGTGCCTGCATCATTCTGGGCCTCGCACGGACTGCAGCGGGGCAGGTGGCACCTTGCATCACCTCAAGTGGAGAAGAGTCCACCTTGGCCACCTGCACTTCACAACAACTAACTCCTTTGCCCTTTGAGCGAATGTGCCTTCCACTCCTAGTCTATTAGAATCTGTGCGATAAGAACACCTCTTCCTCCTTAGTCTTCCCAAGTGGAGTTGCTTTGACTCACCTTGCCCAAACCACCAGGACGAATATTCAGAGTCAATATTCGCAGAAAACATTGGACTCCCTGGAGGCCTTTCTTCTCTATCATCCTTATTGTTTGCTAGCCATCTTGATCACAATCCCCTCGGACCTCTCACCAGCCTGGCTGCCTTTTTCATTCACCCCATTCCCATCGCCCAGCATCAGCCTGAGCATGGGTAGCATCTCCTGCAAAACTCTTTAAAATATATATTGTTACTGATTTCAGAGAAAAAGGGAGAGATAGGAACATCAATGATGAGAGAGAACCATTGACCGGCTGCCTCCTGAACATCCCATCTTTGGGACTGAACCTGCAACGCAGGCATGTGCCCTAACAGGGAATCGAACCATGACCTCCTGGTTCCTAGGTTGACACTCAACTACTGAGCCATGGCAGCCAGACCTGAAATACTCTTCCTGTGCCTTTTCCTCTTCGGCCGTGAAGCCCTTCACCCTTCACCCCAACCATTGGTTCAGTACATATTCTGGTTCCAGAGAACAGTATCCTAGAATTGTCCAGTCAGAAGATGGGAAGGCTGGGCGTTTATGTACTCACATCTTGGGGCTATGGTGAGACCATTAGGTGGGATGCTGGCTGGTAATACAACTATACTGTCCGGCTGTGCAGGATGCTGGTGGGCGGAAGAGATGCACAGAGACCAGAAGCATCTGCTGTATGTAGGACATACCCAGAACACAAGGGCAGGGGCTTTTTCCTTATTGCCAACACCCATTCAGGTTCCAGTATGTGGCTTCCTGAGTGGCTTAGTGTCTGCTGAATACAGATGAAATAATTGAGTAAGTAAACAACGAGTGAATGAATGAAAGTATGCTGAAATTTTCCAGGGGTATTCAATATGTTAGTGTTTCTTAGATGAAGAAACTTAGAGTGAAATTTCAGTGAATGTTTTGTAGATCACAAATCTGTACCTTCCTATAGATGTGATGGCAGCCTTTGTCATATCGCACATTTGTTCACAATGTCACTGTTTCTGGATTTGACTGGTTAGGATCCAGTTTAGAGTAGCAAATATATATTTACTTTTAGAATGCGTGTTCTCCTCAGCTTCTGCTTGGTGGTTTAGCTGACACATTGCTGAAGGCATTATTTGAGTTAAATTTTAAAATAGGGATCATGTGTCTGTGGGCAAAGATGGAGCATAGAGAAGACTACAGACAGAACAAACATGGGGATTAGAAACCTTTGAGTGTGTTTCTAGATAACAGTGACCAATAAGAGTTTAGGATGTATGAAGTGTGCCCCCTGGGAGAAAGGAAATTTGTGTAAATGGGATTGGAGCTACCGTGTGCAGGGCCTTGGAGTAGCAGGCTTACCTACAGCATCCTCACACCTTCATACACAGGCCACTTACTGACTGACCACAATGCCCTGCCTCCACAGTGCAGCTCACACTCTCTGACAGTCCTAACCCCACTCTGTCTCAGTCTGTCCTCTCTCCAGTCCTTGTACCAGGGTCACCGCTGGCGTGAAGTTCTTCCCACCTGTCTAATGCTGGCATTGCCTCTCACACTGGAGGATCCTCTTTCCTTGGTTTCCTTTCCTCCCTCCTCCCTACCTGCATATTCATCCACCCCCCCCCCCCCACCCCCAGTTTTTGCTTCTTTCCTGCATATGTTGCCTTTGAATTAGTTCTCATGGAATCTTGTTTTTTCGGCTTATTTTCTAGATGGGAAGTGATGGAATTTTACGCCTCAGCACTTCAGCTCTGAATAATGAATTCTTTGCATATGCGGCACAAGGATGGAAGCAGCGGCTGGCAGAAGGTAAATGCCTATTTCCCGTTCTTACTTGACATATTTGAGTACATGCTGTACTGAGCTTGCACCTTCCTCTGCTTTCCAATCTTTTTACCCTACCCCCCTGGAGTCTACTTTAATTTAATAAAAATTCACATTCTATTCCAATGGACTTCACAGATTCTCTTGTTACATTTGGCATCTTTGATATCAGACATATTTTAAGAAAGCGTGATTTTATCTGGAACATAATAAAAATGTTGCTATAGTAAGATATTGGGGGAAAGTGTTAAACTCAGTTACTTGTTTGGTGCATTTTGTATTCTATTAATGGCCTGGGGCGGAAGGAATCTTCTTTTAATACTTTCTTCCCTTGAAGCCACCACTTTGCCTTATCCTTCCTTCTGTCACCAGGCTTCTTGAAAGACTAACAGTGTTGGTGTGATCACCACACTTGATTCCCTCACCCCTTCAGCTTGTCATGGTTGGGCATGGCCCCACTGTACACAATGGAATCATCTTTCCTAGGAAATACGGATGGTTTTCTAATGGCCAAGCCCAGTGTCTTCTCCTCAGTCCTTACAGCTCATGTTCCCTCTCCACTTTCTCATGTGCTTTCTATCCCATCCAACTGGAAACCGTCCCCTGTTGGCATTCATAATATACGTAGCATCCCTTCCTAAAGCTGCCTTTCTGACGGCCATTCCTCGGCTTCTTTCCGGATCCCCTCTTTTTTCCTCCGAAGGTAACTGTGAACGCCTCTACCATTCTCTTTCCTGACATTTTCTTTTGTAACTTACACATAGTCTCTACCCAGCCTCACTCCCCTCACTATGGCCCGTCTGCTGAAAATGCCCACATCTGGCTCTCACTCCTCTTTCTTGTTCCTTGGTGTTCTAATCCTAGGGCCTATTTGATCTCCTAGCTCCGTGGTCGGCAAACTGTGACTCACAAGCCACCTGCGGCTCTTTGGCCCCTTGAGTGTGGCTCTTCCACAAAATACCAAGGCCTAGGCGAGTCTATTTTGAAGAAGTGGCATTAGAAGAAGTTTAAGTTTTAAAAACTTGGCTCTCAAAAGAAATTTCAGTCGTTGTACCGTTGATATTTGGCTCTGTTGACTAAGGAGTTTGCCGACCATGGCCTAGCGGATACCAGGCACCTTAAAACCAACAGGCCAATGCTGAACTCCCCATCTTCCCTGTAATATCTCCGATTTCTTCTGCTTTCTCGGGGTTGATATTGCCATCCTCTCCTCACAGCTCTCACTTTAAACCTTGACAGCATCTTGGATCCTCTTTTATCTCCCCAGGTCCGTCTGGCCATGAAGTGTTAATGGTGCTGTGAGTAGGAGTCCCCTTCCCGGTCCCCCAGCTACCGTCTGACTGCACTTTCCATCCCCCCTCTGTGGTAGTCAGTGGGCTCCTAGGGGGAGTCCTTCAATGTCTTCACCCTGTTTCCTGCTTCTTTGGCCAGATTTCTCCCTCATGGACCATCGCCAGGACCTCCCTCTGGATCTGACGGCAAACATTCAGAGCTCTCTTTAGAACACACATTGGGGAACTGGCCGCAGCCTGCCTTTCCTATTGCATTTCAGCCTATGTTCTATTCACCATTGTCTACTCAAAAGAACATAAATTTTCATATTCATATCTCTGTGCCTTCTGACTTAAGTACTTTATGAAGCTTGATCATTTTTGAGAAGCTAACTCAAGAGTCAATTCCTTGCCGAACCCGGTTTGGCTCAGTGGATAGAGCATCGGCCTGCGGACTGAAAGGTCCCGGGTTCGATTCTGGTCAAGGGCATATACCTTGGTCATGGGCACATCTCCAGTAGGGGGTGTGCAGGAGGCAGCTGATTGATGTTTCTCTCCCATCGATATTTCTGACTCTCTGTCCCTCTCCCTTTCTGTCTATAAAAAATCAATAAAATATATTTAAAAAAAAACAAAAAAACATCAGTTCCAACAGACTGTGGAATCTCAGTGGGTGGGAAAAGATCAACCAAAGACCTTGTATGCATATATTCATGACCCATGGACACAGACAATAGGGTTGTGAATGCCTGGGGAGGGAGAGTGGTAGGGGCAGGCCAGTAGGGGTCAATGGGGGAAGAAAGGGGACATATGTAATACTTTCAACAATAAAGAATTTAAAAAAATCAGTTCCAGCACGTGGCCTTCTCTCATAGATTTAGGCAGAGTTAAATGCTTTCCCTTCTATACTTTTAGTACGTTTATCCTCTCCAGGGCTTTTGACATCATGTTATAGCCAAAGGTATGCCTGCTCTCTCGCCAGACAGACTTCACTAAGTTCAGTGGGTCCCCCTCATTCCTAGCCCTGAGCGAGCAGGACATGTGCTAAATGCTTTAGATTCATCTGTGCTTCAATGACTGTTTGAGTGGTATTCATAAAAGGAGGAGCTGTAGAAACATTACCGGTACTCTGCTTTTAGTTTTCAGCATCCATAAACGTACACTCAGATTAATGGCATGTTTTCTTTATTAATTGGCAAGGAGATGTGGCCCTTTGACTCAATATATAAGCCTTTTCTTTCTAGGAGAGTTTACACCAGAAATGCAATTGCGGATAAGGCAAGAAATTGAGAAGGAAAAGAAAACAGAACCTTGGAAAGAAAAATTCTTTGAAAGGTTTTATGGAGAAAAGTAAGTGCTAGAGCATTTTTTCTCATTTCTCTTAGAAGGAAATGAAAATGTAATTCTCTGCTTCGCATAGCATACTCATATGCTGTAAAACTCAATAAACCTGTGATAAACTGCGGTAGTCCGTGTAAGAAACTGCGGGGAAAATTCTAGTGGCATATCAGCACTTAAGTTATTAAAAATGCATTTTCAAGGGTTTATAACTTGTCCATGAAAATTCATTTTGGACTGAAAACAGCATGAAATCCCATGGAAGTCAATTTTGGCCTTCTAACTGGATTTTAGTAAATCCAAGTTATTTTTATTAATGAATACCTTAGACTTAATTCTCACATTTCCCCCCAAATACTGACCATGCATATATCTGTTTAGTCTTTATTTCGAGGAGAGCTTGAGGTGTTACCCTTCACTCTATCCATTTTTCTCTTCCGGTACAACCCGTTTTACATTTTTATCCTGTGTGTTTCTTTTTAAAATAATACTGGCCACAAATAGCGTGGTAGTGATGGAACTAAATTGAAAGTATTTCTCCATTGCTTCAAGGTTAGTGAGACATACATATTGTACTTGGGCAGAATCGGCATCTCGGAGACCATCCGATCCCTAGAATGAAGGAGGGATTAAGAAGCTGACACCTGCCCTAGGCAGTTTGACTGGGTAGATAGAGTGTTGGCCTGCGGACTGAAGGTTCCCAGGTTCGATTCCGGTCAAGGGCACATGCCCTGGTTATGGGCTCGATCTCCAGTGGGGGGTGTGCAGGAGGCAGCCAATCAATGATTCTCTCTCTCCCTCTTGTTTCCTCTCTGAAATCAATAAAAATATATTTAAAAATTTTAAAAAGAGAAGCTGACAACTGACAGGACCTTGAGATCCTTCTAAGTTGAGGAATTTGAGCTTTAACTCCCATGTACACGAGTAACACGCTTAGATGAATGCTCCAGTGTTATTTTGTATAAAAGATACTGAGATCATGTAGGTAACAAAATCTGTACCTTTGGACTCATTTCACAACCACCCCGCTCCTGCCCCCGTAAAAGAGGAAAAAACGTCAGAAGGGACATCACCTGGGCCTTCTTCGGGGAAAGGAACCCCAGGCCTGCCGGCCTCCTTATGCAGTTGCCAGCCTTTGGCGACTGGCCCCAAAGTGGTGCTCTCCAGTAGGAAGGCCTTGGATACATAAACGTGTTTAAGCAAAAAGTAAAAGGAGATAATTACCATCTTTTTCTTTCAAAGAGCAAGAACTGTGGCAGGCTAGTTGTATGCCTTCATAGGTAGTCTCTGGCAGTGTTACTCAAGCCTGCCCCTATCTGGTCCTTACTGGAGCTTTGAAAATCAGGTACAGGTTTCCAGAACCCACCCCAGACATAATGACTGGGCATGTCCAGGAACCCTCAGCACCCTTGTCTGACGAAGGGAATGTTGGGAACACTCTTTTCTGTAATGGCAGAAGCCTAACTGAGGCAGTTACCTCCAACATGTTGGTCCTGAGTTGTTATTGGTGTTGGGCCCATTCTCTTACAAACCTAACACTTATCCAGCATCTCCATGGTGTCAGACACCGTCTGAGGTGCCAGAGGTACAGTGAGCTTCCTGGCTCCGCCCTCAGAAGGCCTACTTTCCAGAGTCCACATAGCTTTCCTTCCTCCAACAAATAGTCATTGCACATACTCTGGCTTTGACATGTTCCTAAGAGTTTGGCTAATGTTACTTCTTGTAATTCTCCCAACAATCTTGTAAGGTGGATAGCATTATTATCCTTATGTTTTAAAAACTAGAGCAGGGGAGTCTCAGCCCAGCCTGCACCCTCTTGCAGTCTGGGAGCCCTTAGGGGATGTCCGACTGATGGCCAGCAGTTGAACGTCATTAGAGGTACCTCGTAGACGGGAGAGGCTCCCACCACCACTGTGCCACCGCTGCTGCACTTGCCAGCTGTGAGCCTGGCTTCTCACGAAGTGGCACTCCTCCTGCGCTGAGCATCTGCACCATGGTGGTCAGTGCCTATCATAGTGACCAGACATTCTGCCATTTGGTCGATTTGCATATCAGCCTTTTATTATATAGGATGGTGTCCAAAACGGAAGGACAGTGAAACTTAATTTTACCTGATTTATAAGGCACAGCTAAGTAGTTTGCTCAGTGTTTTAATCCTACAAATTCTTCTCAGAAAATTTCATGCACATACATTTAAAATATATATTTTTTTTATTGATTTCAGAGAGGAAGGGAGAGGGAGAGAGAGGTAGAAACATCAATGATGAAAGAGAATCATGGGTCAGCTGCCTCCTGTAAGCCCTCAATTGGGGATGGAGCCCGCAACAAAGTCATGTGCCCTGACTGGGAATCGAACTGTGACCTCCTGGTTCATGGGTTGATGCTGAAGCACTGAGCTACACAAGCTGAGTCACATACATTCTTTTACATGGAATTGGGGGTTTCACAGACTCCCATAGGTTGATCAGGCTAAGGGTCCCTGCCCCAAAGGGTGACAGCTACAATACTGTAAGCAAAGCTCCCATCTCCACTCCTGAGCTCCAAATGCAAACAGTTCTTTTTAAATGAACCTTTTTCTTGCTATAGTTTTCCATAGAGTTCCTGTCTCTTAAAGTGACTGGACTTCTTGCTTGCTTTTTCCTGTCTTTGATTTCATATCAGATGACAGATGTATTCTGGACATTTCTTTGACTGCCCTTATAGTTTTGTTACTTTCAGATTACCCACATTTCCCCAACTTGTGAGGGATTTTTTCTCTAGGATCACACATTTTCACTTGACTGACACCATGTGCCTTTTCATTGCTCTAAGACTAAGTTTTTCCCCAAATGTTGCTATCCAAATTCACTTCTAGTTAAATCTGTCTGATTCCATTTTTTTCTCTTTGTTTGAGGTCTTTATGATGGTTCTTACTGGCTTACTCTGCTTGTGATATAGTGCTGTAGTATATTTGTCTTAGTTACTTAGAAATCACCCAGTATATGCTAACTCAGAATTATAGGAGTTGTTCTGATTTGCGGTTTAGATTTCTGAGGGCAGTGTTTCCTTTGTGTGGTTATGTGGTGTGGTCTAAGCCTCTTCTTTTTATGCCTTTTACCATCTTAAATCTATTTTCCCATGAAAATAAAATGTTGATATAGGCATATTTCATGCAGTGCTGTTTTCTTTCCGATATATATGATTTGTACATGACCTGTATGATTTATAAGTGTATATACACTTTTTTTCTGATAGCTCAATTGATGTTTTTTTTTTTTAAATATATTTTATTGATTTTGTACAGAGAGGAAGGGAGAGAGATAGAGAGTTAGAAACATCGATGAGAGAGAGTCATCAATCAGCTGCCTCCTGCACACCCCCTACTGGGGATATGCCCGCAACCAAGGTACATGCCCTTGACCGGAATCGAACCCGGGACCTTTCAGTCCCCAAGCCGACGCTCTATCTATTGAGCCAAACCAGTTTTGGCTCAATTGATGTTTTTTTTTTTCTTTCTTTCCAGATTTAACCCATTGGAATTCATAATTATTCAAAGTAAAATATGTATATATTTTTGGGACACCCTATATATCATATGCATACATATATACATATATACATATAGTAATGTTAATATATTTAATAACATTATCAGTAACCAACTAGCAGAAATTTGGCTGCTAGTCAATAGATTCTGTATGTTCTACACTTAATTTAGTATCTAGCCTGGTATCCCTGCTTGACCTAGTCCCCAAATACCTTATTTCTAGCTGATGATTCTGCTTTAAATTTGTCGGTAATGTAGTTATTCTGTTCCTCTCAGTTACAGTATCGTTGTAAATGATAGCCTAGTTTGAACCCATCATAGGGAAAGCTGAAAGAAAAGAAACTAATTATGAAAGCAGCATCTTCTATCTTCTTTTCAGAGAGTTTTAGTAAAGAAGGCAATGATCAAACACCCACAAAGTGTATTCAGCTGTTTCCCCTTTCATGTAGAGGATTTAATTTAAGTAAAAGGTTAAGATTTCTCAGAGGCATTTTCCTGGATTGATAATATTAGAGCTGTATTTCAGCCGTGTTTCTTGCTCTGGAATGTTCTTTCTCCCGCTTATCTCTGTAATTGCCCGTAGTGCTCTCATCTAATGCACTCAGATCATCCTATTCCCCTGCTAGCTGATGCTGATCTGGTAGCTTCGTATGACAGGAAACAGTGATTCATAGTACCTTTGATTGTAATCCTGATTAACTTTGCCTTCTGACCTGGACATTAGGCTGGATTATTTCTTAATCTTCTTTTCTTGTGGAGTATTTTTACAGTAAGAGATCTACATGAAAGAGTTCATCTTGCCTCACACAAATGTAACCTAGCAGAATCCACTCTGATGACCCCCCAAATATGGTTGTTATTCTTTAGTGAAATTTCCATGTTGTCTTAGGTTAGATGCTTAGATTCTAAAATAAGGTGATTGAACAACAGCTCTTTAATTGGTTTCAGAAGTCATTTCAATGTCAAGATTTTACAACTATCCATCTTCCTTGGACTTAATTATTTGGTTATGGTGCATCCTTTGAAGGCTGTTATTTTCTTCTATAGTGACAGATTTCTACTTTATGACTTAAGAACTCTTAAATCTTATACATTTTTTTTTATTTTCTGCCCATATTTTCTAATCTTTTGTAGTATGTAATTTTCTTATTCCTTTTACAAACAGTTGGTAAGGTTCATATCTCTTTGCTTACAGAATGAAAATCTATATTTGTCTTAACCAGAAATAGTTATGACTATAAAGTGGAAAAACCAAGTCATTATGAACTAATTTAAATAAATTGAGCATGTTACTTAGTGATCATAAAGTCCACTTGATGCATTTGCTTTTATTAAATAGTATATTTGTGAGAGATTGACTTGTACGTCTTGCATTTTGTGGTTGAACAACCATGTTTCTAATTTCTGTGCAGGTTGGGCATGTCAAAAGAGGAATCTACAAAGCTCACTGCTGGACCAAACAGCGATGGAGCTGAAAGTAGTTCTTCATGTGGGACCTCAAGTCTTCCAGGTCTTTCTTCACAGGCCCCCTCAGAAGAACAACAGTCAAAAATCATGAAAAGTCCAACTTCTGTAGAGCCCGAGTTCTGTGCCGGGCTCTGCCCTATGGTAGATGTAGGAAAAGAGGTCATTGCAGAGTCGGAATCAGAGGATATCTTGATCCCTGAAGAATCTGTGATTCAGGAGGAGATTGCAGAAGAGGTAGAGACCAGTATCTGTGCATGCCAGGATGAAAATCATAAGGCAATACCTGAATTTTTGGAGGAGTCTGAAATTCCAGCCAGTGCTCACGAAGAGCCCCAGATAGCAATTCCTGAAGAAAACTTGGAATCGTGTGTTATAATGAACGATGCTTTAGACACTGTGCCTCATCTTGAACTTAAGGTGGAAGAGAAATCCGAATCTCCCCAGGAAGAAATGTCAGTGGTTATTGAGCAGCTGGAAGTCTGTGACTCTCTCATTCCTCCCACTTCTTCTGTGCCTCACCTCCATGTCACAGAACATAAGGAGCCAGAAGCTGAAATAGAGAGCAATGCTCCAAAAATGAAAACAGGGTCATCTCCTTTAGAAGGCCAGTCTCCAAAGGGAGGGGTCGCTGTGGATATGGAGCTGCAGAGCGATCCTGAGGAACAGCTTTCTGAAAACGCTTGCATCTCTGAAACCTCCTTCTCCTCTGAGAGCCCAGAGGGAGCCTGTACCAGCACACCCTCCCCTGGCGGGGAGACCCAGTCTACTTCCGAAGAATCGTGTACTCCAGCCTCTCTTGAGACAACATTTTGTTCTGAGGTATCCAGCACTGAAAACGCAGACAAATACAACCAGAGAAAGCCCGCCGATGAGAACCTTCATGCATCTCTGACATCAGAAACATCTCCCATATCCACTTCACCTGAAATATCAGAAGCATCTCAAATGTCCAATTTACCTTTAACCTCGGAAGCATCCCCTGCATCCAATGTCCCTTTGACATCGGAAGCATCACCCATGTCCGATTTACCATTGGCATCAGAAACGTCTTCCGTGTCTTCCATGCTTCTCACCTCTGAGACTACTTTTGCATCCAGTTTGCCACTTCCTTCAGAAACATCTTCAGTTTCTAATTCTTCCCCGAATGAAAGAACAGTGCATCAGCAAAGAAAGTCCCCTTCCATAACCGAAGAACCACTCTCTCTGCAGAAGGATGAAGGTCCTGCGCCTGCCAAGCCCCTGGGAGAGAGCCTTCTCTCCCAGCAGAAGACTCTATCAAATACCCCGGAGCCCACCAGCCTGGGCCCTTCTGCCATTGCTCCCGAAGCATTTCCATCCAAAGAACTCCACAGCAAACCCCCGACTCAGCAGCCTTGTCAATCACATGTTGAAACAGAGAAGCCCTATCCTGCTTCCATTCCCGAACTTCCTCCTGCAGAAATCGTGAAAGGTAAAACTCAGAACGTCATGCCGAGAACAGAAAAGAAAGGGGCGTCTTCCCCATTGGAACTGTCTGTCTTTCCGGAAGAGACAGAGAGTCAAGGAAATGAGCTTCCACCAGCTAAGTCCCAGGACCAGCAGTATGGCTCCCCGGGGGAGAAGGCTTCATTTCCAGAAGGCTCCAGAAGTAAAACCCATAAGCAAGGGAGCTCACAGAACCGGTTGGAGACCCCGTACACTTCCAAGCTGTCCGAGCCCTCCAAGTCCCCTGATGGCGGGAGAAACGACAGCAGAGAGTCTGAGATCGCGAAGAGGAAAACCGCAGAGCAGCACAGCTTTGGGACCTGCAAGGAAAAGAGGGCGAGGATCGAAGATGACCCATCCACCCGGAACGCATCAGCCGGCAGCCCAGCGGAGAAGGAGCAGCCCCCGAGAGAGGAGCCCAGGGTCCCTCCTCTCAAGGTAGGGTATTTTACAGAAATGAAGAAGAGGTAAAAGAGGCACTTCCATACATAGGCTTGCCCTTCTTAGATACCGAGATTCCCCAACAGAAATGAGATTTTGTCCCTTCTGGGTGTTACATAGCAGTTGATCATCGGACACTCCCAGCACCACCCTCATATTAAGGGATCCTTTATAAGACTGTGCATTGAGCCAATAGGAGTTTAGATACGTGTATGTATTTAGGCCTCAGCATTTAAGGGAGAGGAAGTGGAGAGGGAGAACAGGGCCTGGGACTTTTTTTTTTTTTTTTTTTTTTCCAAATGCTTATTTTCAAAATGATACACACTTTATGTAAAGGTAGATAAGTAGGTAGACACTATAAGTGTACTTAGTGTTTGTTTGGTCTTGAGGTCTTTAGTGTATCGAGGCTTAGGTTTTTTTGTGTTTTTAAAAAATATATATATTTTATTGATTTTTTACAGAGAGGAAGGGAGAGGGATAGAGAGTTAGTTCCACAGGCCACTGAGATGCAGAGTCTTTGGATATGCCAGGGTGTAGGACAGAGCACTAAAGAAACTTGGGAACATTTGAAAGCTAATTTCGTGGCCTTTAGAAGTTCAGAAGAACTAGAGAAAGAAGTCAGAAATTCAAGGCATGCACTAAAGAGATGAAGGTACTTGTTATCCCTTCGTTCATTTTCCAACAGACATTGAACTCCACCATTGCCTCGCAGAGAGGGACCTGGCTTTTGGAAAAGCCTCATTAAATTTCCTTCAACAAATCAATGAAATTGCTCTGTGAACCCTGAAGGGGAATGCTGTGGATATATAGGTGTACAAATCCTTTTTTTTTCTGAGCTAGTAAAAGAGGTATTTAACTTCACACAAAACATAAAAAGCCTGTGGACACACATTTCTATGTAAATATTTTCTTTTGGTCCCAGTAGATTTTAACTCGTGGAAAACAAACCTTTTTATCTAAGTTGGCTCTTCCTGGTAAACTGAAAATTAAGTATAATTCAAAGAAAGTCTGTTTAATAAAAAAAAAAAAAATTCTACCCACTATAATTTAAACTTATTTGGTGCTTTTATCTGAGTCCATTTATATTGCTCTACAATAAAACGGATTATTCCACATAGGATTGGTCTGGAATCATAAACACAGTCAAGCTTTGCTTTTCATAATTTCTTTTTATTTGCTGTGCTCTGACACCTTTTTATATGTGACTCATGATCTCCATCAGGTTGGCTTGTAAGAGTGTGGCTGTAGTTATTGTTTAATAAAGCAGTCCCTAGTAAATGAGATTCTAGAGGTGTAAAAGATGAATATAAAACACTGCTGCATGTTTTAATTTCTGAAGCAACAGAAAGAAAAATACTAGCATGCTTTTCATAAGAAATATTTTTATTTTTTTATTTTTTGCCAAATGCTTATTTTCAAAATGATACACACTTTATGTAAAGGTAGATAAGTAGGTAGACACTATAAGTGTACTTAGTGTTTGTTTGGTCTTGAGGTCTTTAGTGTATCGAGGCTTAGGGTTTTTTTTTTTTTTTTAATATATATTTTATTGAATTTTTACAGAGAGGAAGGGAGAGGAATAGAGAGTTAGAAACATTGATGAGAGAGAATCATTGGTCAGCTGCCTCCTGCACACCTCCTACTGGGGATGTGCCCACAACCAATGTACATGTCCTTGACCGGAATCGAACCTGGGACCCTTGAGTCCACAGGCCAATGCTTTATCCACTGAGCCAAACCGGTTAGGGAGAGGCTTAGTTTTTTAATGTTCTAAATTTTTTAGACTAAGGGAAATCTTGGAAAGGAAACACTGACTCCCCTCTCTGAATTCACTTTCACTTTGGAGCATTTGAATTAGAAGTGAGACATCACAAGCTTGAAAATGAGAAATGAGGTAGCTCAGGAAGGTAATTCCATCTGCCAGCATTCCCCAGCCCAATTCCAAAGTGACAGGACCCTGTAGTGTGTGTCAGGTGTTTACAAATGTGAATATACAGTTGTTAAGAAGAGAGATGCTTTCTCTGAAAGCTTCTCTAGGCGGGGAAGGAGGACATGTAGAGCATGTCAGTAGCTCTGAACGGGGAGCCCAAAGGCTCTCCCTGAGGCTCAGTGATCTCTGGCCCAATGGCGATCTACATTACCTCCAGTTTTTTCCAGAGTAAAATGAGGCCTTAGCCAGGTCCCTTCCAGCTCTACCAGCCTATGATCTAGGTTGTTCTCCATGACTGGAGAATCGCAGGCGTTGCTATGGTGTGTGGGTTGTTAGGTCTTGTGTCTCCTGATTGCCAGGACTGTTGTCTCCTCATTAGCATGAGTAGGTGAACAGTGTGGGTTGGGATATTTACGAAATTCAGCAAATTGTGGATTACCAGGATCAAAAGAAACCACCTGACTCATACTTCCTTTTAGAGGCAGAAAACCAGAGTCCCATCTTTCAAACAGTCCTGTGAAGGAAATGGACCGGAAGTAACTCATTTCACTTTGCATCTGAGTTTAAAAACTTTTTGTGTGTGCTTATTATTATACGTATGTGTACAGCAGCAGGCTCAGCAATACAAGGATGCATAAAAACGACGTACAAACCAGGGTCTCTGGCTCAGGAAGGGTACTGGAGACACTGAGGGACACAGTGATTTGCGTAGCATCACAACGTTTCTCTGGATAAAGTCAGGATGAGAATTGGTCTCCTGACTCCTGGCTAGAGGTGTGTGTGTGTGTGTGTGTGTGTGTGTGTGTGTGTGTGTTTGTGTGTGATTAAGACAGATAAACTCAAGTAGAGTTAGCATCCCAGATTTTCATGGCAGCAAGGAAGATCATTTAAAAGCTAAATCTCTCTATTAGCTAACCTCACTGTCTTGTTAGCTAGCCTCATTTTCACAGGCTGGACTTGGTTTCCAACTATAGGAAATGCTTCATTTCCTTTCCAAATGAAATCACCAGGTTGCCATCTTCATAGTGTCAGAGATTAAAATGTTGAATTCTCATATCCATGCTGCATGTCATGTCCCTTTGTATCCTGAAGGCCCACCGGGGACTGAGGGGCAGCCCCTGCCACCTGAGGAGGAAGTGCAGCTGCTATGTGCCATGTCTCCTCTGTGACCGAGGACCAACCTTCTCTTTCCCCTCTCCCTCCCTGCAGATCCAGCTTTCCAAGATCGGGCCGCCTTTCATCATCAAGAGCCAGCCCATCTCCAAGCCAGAGTCTCGAACCTCCCCCAGCACATCTGTGGGTGGAGGCAGGAACACGGGGGCCAGGACCCTGGCGGACATCAAGGCTCGGGCCCAGCAGGCGAGGGCTCAGCGAGAGGCAGCGGCGGCTGCGGCTGTAGCTGCCGCAGCGAGCATCGTCTCGGGGGCCATGGGTGGCCCGGGAGAGGGTGGCAAGGCCAGGACGCTGGCACATATCAAGGAGCAGACGAAGGCAAAGCTCTTTGCAAAGCACCAAGCGCGAGCCCACCTCTTCCAGAGCCCAAAAGAGGCCCGGCCGCCGCTGCTGCTCGGCTGCAAGGAAGGCGCTCAGAGCTTAGAGGTTCCTTCCACCCCGGAGGCCAAAATCGAAGGACCAACCGGAGTCATCATTGTCAACCCCAACTGCAGGTCTCCCAGCAGCAAGCCCACGCACCTCCGGGAGGTCACCCCTGCCCTCCAGCCAGCTCTCCAGCCAGCTCTCCAGCCCACCAAACCCCCCAACGCGGCCACTGACGTAGCCGTGCATGGCGCCGCTGAGGAACGTGTCCCCGTGTCCCACGTCTCTGAGAAAACGGTTCCCTCTACCTCTTCCGAAAAGAGCGACATGCCCGTGCTGTTTGCTGCCAGTGCTGTCCCCGTGTCCGTCTGCAGCGCCGCTGTGTCGGGCGCCATTAAAGAGCATCCCTTCGTGAGTCCCGTCGACAAGCCGTCCGTCCTGGACAAGCCGTCCGTCCTCGTGTCTGTCGACAGTGCCAGCACTACCGTTTCAGCCTGCAATCTAAGCGTGCTCACCGCCGTCCAGGGCACGGATGCTCCCTGCATCGCCGTGATACCAAAATGCGCCGAGAACACAGCCCTCCCCGCCGCCCTCCAGGGCGCCGGCGCCACGGGCTCCTTGGAGGACACGCAGGCGCTCACGTCCATCAGCTGCGCCAGCGGCTCGGTCTCCGGGCAGTACCCCTCTGTGCCAACCCTCTCCATCGCAAAGAACTTGCCAAACCACCTCGCCACGGCTTCTGTCCTGGTTCCCTCCCCGGGAATGAGTCCCTTGTTCCCTCCCGAGAAGAGAGCCGTGCCTGGGGGTGACGAGCAGGCTGTGCCCGCGGGGACCCTGGGGCGAGCGGCCCCCGGCTGCAGGGATGTGGGGGTCGTCACGGACCCTCTGGTGGTCCGCCCGCCCATCGCCGTGTTTACCGGAAGCATGTTGACCATCAACTCTTACAACTGTCCCCCCAACTTCAGTGCCGAGAGCTTGGACAAAACTCCGGGGCCTCAAAGCAGGGCGGAGGGCTGTGGGAAAGCCCAGCCCCCGGGGGCCTTCGCCCCGGTAGCCATCAATAGGTCGATCCCCTGTAAGGTCATCGTGGATCACAGCGCCGCCCTGGCCTCCGCAGTGTCCCTGGCGGTGGCCGTGGCCAGCGCAGAGGCTGGCGCGGATGCCCAGGGCAGGTTGGGGAGGACAGAGGTCACCGTGCAGCCCTTGGTGGCCTGTCCCCAGGTGTCCGTGATCAGCAGGCCAGAACCGGCTGCCACCGAAGGCCTGGATCCCGGGGCCAGTGTCATCGCTGGGTCTGCAGCCAAGCCAGACTGTAAACCGCTGCAGGCCCCCTGCCCAGGCCTCCCCCTGCTCGTTCCAGAGAAATCACACGAGGCGACGGCGACGGGCAGCAGCTTTGCTGAGCCGGCACGCGGCCCGGCCGCCTTCAAAGGCGAAGCCGACACTGCCGTTGGCAGCCAGTGCCCCACCGGAGGCCGGCTGAGCTGGAAGGAGGAGGCTGTGAGGAGCACGGGGCCGCCGGGCGGGCACTCGGGGCCCAGTAAACAGAAGGAGTGGCCGGAGCCAGGCTGTGCCAAGGCCATCAAAGCCGAGCGGGCCAGCTACCCGCACGTGGTGGCAGAGCTCCACCCTAGGAGCCTCCTGCCGGGGGCCCCTCTCCCCACGAAGCCTGAGCCCCACGCAGTGGACAGGGGCTTCCGAGTGGACACCGGGGACCTCCCCGGCCCAGAGCGGCCCCCTCCGGCCAAGGAGGCCGCCCCAGCGGTGCAGCAGACGCAGACCAGGAAGGTCCCCATCTCGGGCCCCGGGGACGAGGCCGTGTCCTTGGCGGGGGACACCCTGAAGAGAGCGCCCCACGCGGGCGGCTCCAGCTGCCGTCTGTCGTCCGTGGAGGCGAACAACCCCCTGGTGACCCAGCTCCTGCAGGGCAACCTGCCTCTGGAGAAAGTGTTGCCGCAGCCCAGGCTGGGAGCCAAGCTGGAGATCAACCGGCTCCCGGCGCCCCTCCAACCTACCTCAGCCGGGAAGGCGGCCACCGCGGAGAGGAGCGTCGTGGAAATGCCCTCCAGCTCCCCGAACCCCGCGGGGAAGGGCTACCTGGCGGGGACCCTCGCCCCGCTCCACATGCGGAAGCGCGAGAACCACCCCAAAAAGAGAGCGGCCAGGACGGCGGGGGAGCACCCTCAAGTCAAGTGCGAGCCGGGCAGGCTGCTGGCGGAGCCCGAGGTCAAGGCCATGCCCTGCGTCCTGGGCCCCGGCCTGGCCCCCCTGGGCCCCGGGCAGCCCTTCCAGCAGGAGTGGCTGGGCAAGCAGGCCCCGCCGCCGGCCAGGGCGGCCCCCGGCCCCGACGTCAAACAGCAGAAGCGGCTGCTGCCCGCCTGCAGCCTCCAGCAGAGCCTGTTCCACGCGGACAAGAACGGCGGCTTCCACCCCCATCCGGACGCGGGCGCCTCGCACCGGCAGCAGTTCTACCCGATGCCCGTGGCGGCCAGGGGCCCCGTGCCCGCCGTGCCCGCCGCGGCGCTGCTGCAGGCCCCCGCCAAGGCCCCCGCGGGCTGCACTGCTTTCGTCTTCAATCGGCATCTCGAACAAAAGGGACTGGGGGAGGCGGGCCTGGCCCCGGCCCCCCACCAGCTGAGGTTGGCCAACATGCTGACCCCCAGTGTGCCCGTCAAAGAGGGCGATGACGTGGGGGGGGCCGCGCACGCTGTGCCCAGCAAAGCGCCTGTGCTGCCCCCGCCGCCTCCGCCGCCCCTGGCCCTGCCCCCGCCGCCGCCGCCGCCGCCGCCGCCCCCGCCACCTCCACTACCTCCGCCTGCACCTCACGCCGAGGCCCCCGCCGAGCAGAAGCAGCCTCCGCCTCCCCTGGAGACCGCCAAGCGGCTGGGCTGGCCGCCCGCGGGCGTCTGTAGCAATATCAAATCCGAGCCTGTGTCCTTCGAGGAAGGCCTAGGCGGCAGCTGTGACCTGGGCCCCAAGCAGGCCCCCTACGACCAGAAGGAGGTGAAGGAACAGCTGAAAGCATTTGCGCTGAAAAACGCCGACTTCCCCCCCTACCTGCTGTCTGAGCCACAGAAGCCTTTCCCCCCACTGGCCGCGCAGAAGCTGCAGGTGCCGCCGCCGCTCTGCGCCAACTACCCAGCCATACACTTCGGCGGCCCCAGCTTCAAGCGGGCGGCCTCCGCCATCGAGAAGTCCATCGGGATTTTGGGCAGCGGCCCCGGTGCCAGCGCCAATGCCGCCAACGCCGCGGGCCTGCCCGGCCAGGGCGCCCCGATGCCCGCGCAGAACTTCGCCGACAGCAGCAGCGCCGAGGAGCTGGAGCTCAAGTGCTCCTGCCGCCTCAAAGCCATGATCGTGTGCAAGGGCTGCGGGGCCTTCTGCCACGACGACTGCATAGGGCCCTCCAAGCTCTGCGTGGCGTGCCTGGTGGTGCGGTGAGCAGGCGTGTGCGTGGCGTGCCTGGTGTTGCGGTGAGCAGGCATGTGCGTGGCATGCCTGGTGGTGCAGCGAGCGTGAGTGTGTGGCGTGTCTGGTGGCGTGGTGCCTGTGCATGCATGAGAGCCTGGTGTGCCTGAGGGTGTGGCGAGCATGTGTGTGTCTGGCATGCCTGGTGGTGCAGTGAGCATGTGTGTGCATGGCATGCTTGGGAGTGCAGTGAGCATGTGTGTGCATGGTGTGCCTGGTAGTGCAGTGAGCATGTGTGTGCATAGCGTGCCTGGGGTGCGGTGAGCGGTGCGAGGTGCAGTGTCCCTTTTCCCGGCGATGCCCAGCAGCGGCAGCCAGCAGAGAACACGGAGCTGTAGGTACACTCCCTCCCTCCCTTCCTTCCTTCCTTCCTTCCTTCCTTCCTTCCTTCCTCCGAGCCAGCTGACCTCTTCCCGGGGGCTGTTCCTGTGTGTCTCAGGAAGGCGAGAAGGCCTCCCATCCGAGGTGCTCAGCGGCATGTCTGTCACGTATGTACAATAGTTGGCATCCCCAGCTTTGGACAGTTTCTGCCCATGTTTGTTTGCTGTTTGTCCCCATCCAGGGCAGTAGGAAAAGGACATTGTCAGTTACTCAGCACTGACCCCGGAGCAGATGGAGACGGGTGGTGGGGGGGAGACAGCGTGATGTGAGGCGGGCTGTGTGTTTCCTGTGGATGAGCCATTACAGCGAGGCTGGGAGGGTTTTCAGTTGGCTCTTCCAGCACCACCTTTCCCTGCAGGGAAGTCACAGTTGGAAAGGGCACCCTGACTTCAGGGTTGGATTCCTTGTCTTGAGTCCCATCACAAAAGATGCAGTAAAGGAGGTGTCGGCGGATGAAGGCCACTGTCCTTCCTCTCTGCTCTCCCTCCCCTTCCTTTCGGAGATGGGCAGGGTGTCTGCGTGGGCCTTGGACATGGGCACACATTGTCCTGACATGTGTCATGGTCTGGACATTGCATTGCAGTAGCCTGGCCCGCGCCCTTTGACATCTGACCCCGGAGGATCGGTTGGCCACCAGAGGACCCTAGGCCCAGAGGATGTCAGAGCTTCCTACGTGGGCATTAAGAGCAAGTATTGTAAAACTGCCTTAACATTAAAAGAAAAATGCTGTGTAAGCCAACACCTACACATGGGTGGATCACGTAAACATCGGTCCATTCTCTTCACTCCTTTATGATGACTAGATATTAACATTGGGGGGAAGTTATCACAGACCCTGTGCGCGGCACCAGTGCCTCTGGCTTCCAGCTCTGCAGAGGTTGGCCACCTCGTGTTTGAATTAAAGTGTCCTTGGTGATCAAAGGGACTACAGAAGACTGAAGGGTCGACATTTTTCTGAACAGCTTTTTCCTCCTGATTCACAATCTAGACGATTCCACTTGACTCTCAGATGGCCCCCGTTTTTGAAATGGTTCCGGGCCTTGCGTGTTCTGTGTTCTTCCCCCTCAGGTGAGTCCAGTGCCATCTTCCTGTGTGGGAGTGGAGCGGCTTCGGGACAGGGTGCTGCTTCTGCCACACGCTGCCCGTGTGTGCCCAGTGAGTCTGAGTGTTGCTGATCCGAGCTCCCTCCCCCGTGCTTTGCCCGCCCTCGTGCCAGAGAACAGCTTTAGTTCCAGAGGCTCTGTGCCCCTAAAGCAAGTTCAAAAGCACACGCATGTTGTGAGAAGATGAAAGGCAACAAAAGCCACGCCATTTAACCTCCGATTACAGAGCACAAAACGTGGAGTGCCATTAACCCGTTGATGGATTGAGGCTGTAGAATTAAAAAAACACACACACACACACACACATGAAACATGGGGGGAAATAGCATCCGCCCACAGGGAGAATGACGGATATTTTTACGTGGGATCACCCTAATCCATGTAAACTTTTAACATTCCCTTAAAATACGTCTTAAAAATTAACTGGAATGAACAGAAATTGCATTCTGGAGAAGAAGAAAAAACAAACAAACACTTGCGATTTATTCGTGTTTTTTTTGTTTGTTTTTGTTTTGTTTTTTTTACAATAATCAATTATGGTGTCTGTTCCCCCTGCCCCTCCATATTTATTACTGTGATGTTGCCAAATTTTGTTAGGTGGCAGAGATGTCCTTATTATAAACGCATTGCTGATTATTTTATCTTCCAAATCAAGAAAAGCAAAGAAGGGCCTGCTTTGTGGCCTCCATTTGGTGCTTCAGTACTGTCACTTCTGTTTTTCACACGAAAAGGAACGAAGTCAGCTCACCCCCAAGAAAAAGAGCAATGCACCGAAGCAGCCCTTCCCGGGGTTGAGGGGTGCGGTGGAGCGCCCGCGAACCTCACCTCTGCTCCCGGTGGCCCGCAGATGGCATCCTCGTCCCAGCGTCTCCGTGGTCAGCTGGGCTCTGATGTCACCCCGGGTCAGAAGATCGCGCTCTCTTGGAGAAGAGAGCTCTCAGAGGGGCACCCCTGAATCGAGACACGTGCATGCCAACTCCCTCCAAACTCACTTGCTGCCCTACCAGTGTCAGGTACTGTCTACACCAGCAGATTCCAGTCTATCCTCTCAGTAGCTGACACGGTGTGGAAAGACACTCCAGCCTACAAAACCTTTGCACTCTGCAGATGAGGTACGATCGAGGCCGATGTGGTGCTGAGCCCATTGTCCGCCCCGTCCTGGTAGAATCCTGCCTGCAAGTCACTTACTGGGAATAAAGAAAAGTGTCCTTCTGTATGATTTGAGTTTTCACAGAATAGGTGGGGGAGATCAATCGTTGACCACGCATGGATTCTATCCCCTGGTCCAAAGAGCATAATTTCCTCCTGCCCTTGCTGTTGTTGCTTTTGTTTGTTTGTTTTTTGCCCCAGTTCAAATTCCTAATGTTGACATACGGTTTTTATTACTGAAAAATTAGTATCTTTGGGCTAAAAACTATGGAAAGAAAGGAACAAACTCAGAAGCAGTAGGTCCGTTGACTAGATATACAAACGCCAGTCTGTCTGGATGAGGCGAGTAAGTCCTTAGTTTCCTCACTCACACAGGTGTCTGCCTGTGTGCACATGGAATATGTGATTTCCTACATGGTTATTGTGGTGTAATGTGCAAATCTTAGCATGTGCATTGTCCTGATCCTTGGACACTATGCTGTCCTCATCGGGAGTAGAACTTGCACATGTGACATATAATAATAATAAAATTTTTTATCACAAAGGATTTATTTCCGTAAGGAGCACTTTTGGAGCAGGGGACAGAGGGATGCGCTACTCCCCACCCCCCTCCTATATGATATGCATATGCCTGAGGTGTACAAAGACATTCAGGTGGTCGACAGGCATGTTCATAAGAACGTCCGGATGCAGATTCATTTTCAAAATGAAAAGCACGTCCTTCCCCTCAAGCAAGAAGTGCAGGGCTGCTGCTGGTCACCCAAGCTCTGTGGTGACCGTGCTTCCCTGCTGAGGTCTAGCGTGAAAAAGAAAACTTGAAAAGCCTCTGAGGCTGAGCCTGGTTGCTATAAAGACTTTGCGGAGATACTAGGACGAGCTGTAGAAGGTTTAGTTGACTTCCAGACCTTGGAGAGTCATCTTCTTCCAGAATAAACAAGGACACAAGCAAGCTGAGGCTTACAGCTTCAGGAGGCAGTCAGGGGTAAGCACCCAACATGCACCAGTGTCCTTGACACTCAGAATTTCAAAAGGGAGGGAGGGGTTCCCCCCTGGCCTGGGTTCCTCCTTGGTCTGGTCAAGTCCCAGTTACAGAAGCCGAAGCCAAATTAGGGTTGCGTCGTCTCTGGGGTCAAGGCCAAGCTCCATGCTGGCTGCCCAGTGGGCAGGAGCCCACGGAACATGCAGAGCCCAGAGCCACTGTCCATGTGTTTGTGTGTGTGTGTGTGTGTGTGTGTGTGTGTGTGTGTTTGCAGACAACAATGTGACGAGTCCGGGCAAAGGAACTCTCCAGACTGTCAGGAGCCTGCGGAGCCAGAATGTTACTCAATAGAAAACCTTGTCTTCTTCAGTCCTCGTGCTCTGTCACTGTAAAGCGAACAAAATGCATTTTTACGATAATTTAAAGGAGCTGCTTTTTTTTTTTTTTTTTTTAAATAGCACATACTCTCGCTTTGTACTATATTTGATAGTCACAGAAGAATTTAGGCGGTAGGAAAACCTGGTTGTATTGTACTATTCATGAATGTTTCCAAGAAAGTGCTTTACTTGGTTGCCATCATTTTCTGGTACTGCTGTAATTCTTTCCCCCTGCTTCCTGGAAACCTAATCCAATTCATATTGTTCACTGCAGTTTGTTTTTATATATGTGTTTGTGTGTATTTTTTTCTCTCTCTTTGGTCAGTATTCTGAATGTTTACATCTGTTTGACATTAGCCATTTAATGCCTTTTTTTTTAAAGGTGGTATTACTCTTGCAGTGTAATGGGAAAATGTGAAATCGCCCCAACACAACGTGCATGACAAACACAGATTGGGGGCTCAGGCCCTCGACAGACACAGACATTTTTTATCGGCATCCAGAGAGGGACAGCCCCCCTCCGGTCCTCTACCAAAGAATATATTCCTCCCACGGGGAAACTCTGCAAAGGAGTGGGAAGCCCTCCGAAGCGGGGGCAGTGGGTTCCGTGAGGCGGCTGCAATTTGAAACTGGTGTGCTTGCTTGGATACCCGGTGAAATCTGACTGCGTGCAACAAGCATTGAAACAATTTTTAGACGGCATTTTGTTTGGAATTCAGGGATCATGCATTCTTTAATGGTGCTGTTTGTTTTTTATTTCTTTTCTACAAAGAAGAAAAAAAAAACTGTTGCCTACAAAAGTGACTGCTCACAATACCATAAGTTAAACAAAATGTTTGTCTTTTCATGTTTCTCGATTTTTCCCTTTCTCAAAGTTAACAACTTGGGTTTCAATATTCAACTATTCTGGCGAAAATAAAGAAATTCAGCATTAAGTAGTTGTCATGTTTAATTCTTTCCTGAAGCGAGGTAGTTTGTATGCATAAAAGGCACTGATTTCAAAGGAGCCTTGTCCAGTTATTACAGCTACTTGCCCTCAACTTCTAAGTCATTATGCAGTTTTAACACATTGAAACAATAATTTTGCCCTTGTGACTGTTTATCTCTGGTATTCATCTGTTTGGTTTTGACCATCTCATCTGTTATGTTTGGGTGAAGATAGACGGTAACAGATTACTCTGATAAGTACATTAAAAATTTTACTCAAGAAAAAATTTATAGGGAAGACAAACCATATGCTGTTAAAATTCTCTGCCTTCTCCTTGGTGTGGTGAGTTGTGAGCATATGATTACAAGTATTGGTACATCAGCCAAAACCAAACTAAAACCTCTTTGAGATTAATTATATCTACTATGCTTATCATTTGAAAATCTATTAGGATCTTCCCGTTTGCATAAAGAGCTTGTTCATTCTTTATGCTAAAAGGCATTCAGTTCACGTAAAGTTACTTCCCCATTTTCTTTTAACTTTCAAAATGAGTTAACTTTCAAAAATTGTTTTTACGTTGCTCATTAGTATTTTTATCTTAGATTAGCTATTATAACTAGGGTGATTTGAATAAAGTGCTGGGAACCATTAAAGCAAACCTGCCTCCGTTATATTTACATTGGTTAAAAATATGCATATCTTTACAGTGAGATGAATCAGAAGCATTAAACATAATTGGCTGTTACCAGAGTTCAACTGTTTTCTTCCACATGGAAAGTGTCACCTTTAGCCACCAGAGGGCGGAAGAGGATGTTTACTTTTGAAAAGAAAAAGAGGAGACTAAAGCATTCTTTCTCCTCTTAAAACTAAATGAGATGCCTATAATAATGAGAGTCCACCTCACCCACGTAAGTCAATGGGAGATAGATGCTTCTGCATTTCACTAAATTGTTTTCAGTACAGGATGACATTCCTTTTTTTGTTCTATTAAAATATTTACAAAATACTAATTTTACTTAGTGTTACGGGTTTTTTTTGTTTGTTTGTTTGTATTACTCCAGTTTCTTCCAAATTTTATATTAGAGAAATTTGAACAGTGCAACATTCTTTATTTTTATTTTATTTTTTTAAAATATATTTTATTGATTTTTTTTTTGCCCCCCTCCTTCCCTCCCACACATTCCCTCCCTCCCCAGAGTTTTGTGTCCATTGGTTGTACTTATATGCATGTATAAAAGTCCTTCGGTTGATCTATTATCTCTCCCAGATTTTCCTCCCCTCCCCGCTGTAATTTGACAGTCTACTTGTTGATATACTGTCTCTATATCTATCTTTTGGTTCATCAGTTTATAATGTTCTTTATCATCCACAAATGAGTGAGGTCATGTGGTGTTTCTCTTTCATTGATTGGCTTATTTCACTCAGCATGATGTTCTCCAATTCCATCCAGGTAGTGCAGCATTCTTTAAACTGGCATTTATTGAAACTGATCGGGCCCTTGCCTGTTTGGCTCAGTGGTTAGAGTAATGGCCTGCAGACTGCAGGGTCCCAGGATTGATTCTGGTCAAGGGCAAGCTCCTGCCAGGCCTAGGCTCTGGTCAGGGTTCATGCAGGATGCAACCAATTGATACGTTTCTCTCACATCGATATTTCCCTCTGTCTTTTCCTCTCTAAAACTCAAGGAAAAATATCAGGTAAGGATAAAAAAAAAGAAAAGGAAACTGACTAAATGCCTTAAATGTTTTAATTCATTTGTTCTTATAAAATAGATACAATTACATGATTTTATATAAATACTAGAGGCCCAGTGCACGAATTCATGCATGGGTACAGTCCCTTGGCCTGGCTAGTGATTGGGGCTGACTGGGGCCCATCTTGCCGAGTCCTGATCAGGGCCGATTGGGGCTGGCCAGCTGTGGGAGGTTGGCTATGGTAGCGCACTAACCACCAGCGGGCATCTCCTGCATTGAGCATAGCTACCAGACTTTCAGTTGACCAGTCATAACAGTCACTTAGGCTTTTATATAGATAGAAACCACTATTCTTCATATAATATTGTGGCTTTAAAGAGTCACAATTGCTCTTAGGATCTAAAGTATTTATTTGTATCCATCATAGTGCTTATCTGAGGACAAGTGACATACCCAGTGATCGATCAGTTTCCACATAGATATTTCATTGTCATCAATAGTAAGATGCTATTGTTAAAGAGCCTGGCCAGAAGAGTGGTTGATAAAACATTTGGGAGTTTCTTTCTGCAAAATTCAAACAAACAAAAAACATAAAAAACAACAACACAATTGAACAGGAATCCTAGAAAGTGTTTCTCCACAAAAATCATTCAAAGACTTTAGTTATACATTGCCTAGATTTAATATTTCAAATTCAGATCACACCCAATTGTCCACAGCGATACGCAGAAATAGGAAGTTGGAGTAACCCAATGTCATAGCTAATTTGGAAGTCTAAATTGTACAATGGGTCCCTCTTTTTTATGGAAACTTTTACCCAAGTTGCCAGTTTAATGAGTTACCATTCCTTTCCACTAAATGGGGGAAGTTCACATGATTTGCAAAGTAACGGATGGGTATTTTTTCCCCCATTTTATTTAAAACAAACAGTTTTGTTTTGCTTTTCTGCTACATTAAGCAATACCCTGACTATACGTAAAGCCGGTGCTGTAAGTATTTAGTAATCCTGCAAAGCATCAGCCAGTCCACACAGATGCCAAACAAATCAAAAGAAAAGCTCCTCTTACAACAAACCAGTGACGACGGGCTGAATTCCAGCTCTCTGAACAAAGGAGTGCCCGGATCTACTTTTATTAATAGTTGGGATTTATCCTTAGTCTATCCGTTGCATGTATGGGAATGCTTGTTTCTGAGGTACTTTTCCCAAGCGAGAATTTCATCTGCAATCTCATTTACATTATTTTTTAAGGAAATCATTAAAAGGTGGTTCAAAGGTGAGCTTTAACCCAAACAATAAAATATCCAGTAGTTTCCCCTTTTTCCTTTTTCCAGGTACCCTGTTGAGTGGATACTTCCCACAAATAGCAAAGGGTAGGAGCACCAGGTGCTGGGCACTTGAAGACACGTAAGATCCATCTTATTTCCTCTGGGCTCATCAGAAAGTCTCTATTATACTTTTTATTGATTTGAGAGAGAAAGGGACGGGGGGGGGGGGAGAGAGAGAGAGAGAGAGAGAGAGAGAGAGAGAGAGAGAGAGAAACATCAACAAGGAGAGAGAATCATAGAAGGGCTGCCTCCTGCACATCCCCTGCTACTGGGGATCAAGCCTGCAATCCAGGCATGTGCCCTTGACCAGAATCAAACTCGGGACTCTGCTCTATCCACTGAGCCAAACCAGCTAGGGCAGAAAGTCTTGATTATTTTATAAGCTTATAAATTAAAAAGAGGTTTTACCTTTGACCCTAACTTAGCTCTCTAGTTTTAAAATGTGGTTTTATTTCAGGAAAACACTACGTTCCAGATGCAGTGATGGAGGGAGCCTGGAAGGGTTTTGAAATGCAGAACTGTCGTTCTGTTTTCCTTGATCCGTTTGGCATTCAGTATCCACTTCTGGGTGTCACGGCTTCCAGGTACAGGAAAGTGAGGCTGGCCTCAAGGACGACAGTAGTAAGCTTTTCCCGAATGTTCTCTTTCTGTAGAGAAGTTACAACACTTATTCACGTCCACTTACACAGAAATAAAATCCGTGAGTTCTTACTGTAATAGAAAGTTTACTTGCCAACTAGTTTAAATCTCAAAATGAGGAATGTAAAGGTTTGTGGGATGAGCAGAGACAGTTCTCCATAATGGTGTCTAAGCAGAAGCCACTGAGATATTTTATACCTTGTCTTTATTTAAGATGTGAGCTCCGTGTAGATTTGAATTTGTTTTTTTGTGTGTGTTTTTTGTACTACTTGTTTTTTGTTAAAATAATCTTTAATCTTCCAAGGGGAAAAGCTATATGGAATGAGTTGTCATCTTAAAAAAAACAAACAAAAAAACCCAGTCAAATTGTTTTTAATGTTTTTTAACTGATTTTAGAGAGAGAAGGACATAGAGCTGACATGATGGATCGATCGGTTGCCTCTGCACCCCCTGAACCCTCTGCTGAGCATCAGGCCCACAGCCCAAGATTTGAGGGATTTGAACTAAGACATCCTGGTGCATGGGTTGATGCTCAATCACTGAACCACACCGGCCAAACTCAAAAACACTTTTTAAAACTACATTCAGAGTAGGACTATATGTATTATAGTTTGGAAAGGTTTTGTGGAATTCTTGTCCAAAAAGCTTTGCTTGGCAACAACTGAGAGGAATCAGACACCACACTCTGCAGTCTCGGTTTTCTCATTTTGATTCTCTCCTAAATAAATCATCTCTAAGTCTTGAGGCTTCGTGGCCTGAATATAAAGAAGTGTTTTCTGAATTTCCTTCATGTAAGTAAACTTGTAGAGATTTAACTCTATTCTACACCAAATATGGCTTTTCCAGAGTGGTTCCCCACAGGCAGGCTGTCTTTGACAGAAAATAAAATAGATAATGCTTGTGAGCTGCTGTGGACCGCGTGCTGCAGGCATGTCATGGGCAGTATCAGACTTACCATTAGAAAACGCCTCCCGTGCAGGCACTCCTCGTTTACCCGAGTTATGCATGAGGAACAGAGGTGTAGAGAGCTTAAGGAAAAGAGCACCCAGCTAGGATGTGGAGTGAGAGGGTTTACAGGGGCCAACACCCATCTTCTTGTTTACTACAAGACACGAGACTGCTCCACCGACCGTGGGCACTGGGCATTCGGAGAAAAATCGGAGGCCCAAACCGTGAAAAAAGTCTTACACTTGTGGGAAAGAAGTAATTAGAATGTGACCAGAGTGAGTATAGCTAGGGTTTGTGCAGGTGCAGAGGGACAGACAGCCACCATGAGGGTGAAACCACAGAGGCTGCCGCTGGGAGGGGAGTGAAGGCTCCCGAGGCTCCTCACCGGCACCAGCCAGGGGTC